AGAACATAGTGGATCACACCAACGAGCAACAGAAAATGCTGCAGCAGAGGAGGCATGAAATCGCTGAACAGGTAAATCAAACAACTGAAAAGTGGAGCCCTCTATTAGAATTACTGTAGACTGTAGATTTCTAGCATGTCGGAAATCTAGACTCATCTCCAGTCTATCAACATAAGGTGCGTGGTCACTAAAATCGATGGTCCCAATGCACAGGTATTTCTTTTGTCTGTATCCTTTTCAAATGTTAGGAAAGAGGTCTCTCCATATATCAATTAGACCGACCTCCTCCTGGACATGTGGGTCCACCTTGATACATTAAAGGCTTTAATCAGAGTTTGTGCTTTTAAGCCTTAGGTGCAACACACAAGTCTAAACTGAATGAATGTGAAATCAGTGTAAAGAGCTCTGATCACTGACATAGACTTATTGATGTGTCTGATTTTTAATAGAAAACCTTATAATGTAAATTACAGCATACTTGTAATAGCAGTAACAGTATATTATACTTTTTAAAGCACTTTCTAAATAAAGAGAGTTCATATTTATCTGACTGATTTTATCAACTGATGAAAAAGCAGCCATGTGTAAGTAATATAGAAAATTGTGGATGTGATGCATTGAAATGTATCGATGCATCATTGTTCATTCAAATTGTTGACTGCTGAATCGCAATCGAATCGTGAGGCTAGTGAAGATGCACTCTAATAGCCATGTGTATTAGACTGACGTTGTATCTTTAAGATTAGAAAACGTTGCAGATCTACTCCCTGAACAAACAAGAACAGATAAGAAAAAACAACCGCACTACTCTCTCTCTACTAATGTGATGTTCAATGAACTGTCACTTCCTCCATCTTAATGTGTCATTCTGTGAGCCCCTGCTGCAGAAAAGAACTGGGGCATCATTCACTCTAACTCTTCTTGTGTGTGATATTTTAACCAGATAAATCAGTCGTGTAGTGTGAACTGTACAGCGAGCCGACGACTCCGAATATCATGTCATCAGAACTTGGCTTTACTGAATAGTTGTAGGCCTGTCAATCCCAGCTGACATTAGGCGAGAGACGGGGTACACTATGGACAGATAAACAGTCCATCACTGGGCTGACAGACGCAAACAACCATTCACGCTCACATTCACATCTATAGGCTACTCAGGGATATGGCTCTGTGGTCTAAAGTTTAAAATGTGTGTTTGCAGAAACGCAGAGAGCGAGAGATGCAGCAACAGATGGAGAGTCGTGACGAGGAGACTCTGGAACTGAAGGAGACCTATACTTCCTTACAGCAGGAGGTCGACATCAAAACCAAGAAGCTGAAAAAGGTATCAGCTCCAACCTACTGTCCTTCCTCTTCACTCACTTGTTTTCAGGATAAATCTCCTGTCCTGCCAATGTAACAAATGAATTTATTCTGAGTACATACAAATTCACTGATAGAATAAATATTAATTATTTGTAAAAGCTTAGGTCAGCATTACTGTTTAATTTTGTAAATCTGATGTGCTCTACCTCAGAGGATTGATGTGTCTGGTAATAAAAAGCCTTGCAGGTAAGTATGTCAGGTACCATTTTAAAGTGAGTAAAAATATACATGACTGCCTTTGTTGGTGAAATCAGATATTCCATTACTCTTCATGACAGTCAGCGTTTAAACCAAACTCTAAGACTGAATATACGTCTCATCATGCAAACCCTGGTTTCATTCCTCCTCTGTGCTTCAGCTGTTTGCCAAGCTGCAGGCAGTGAAGGCCGAAATCCAAGACATCCAGGAGGCACACATCAGAGAGCGCCAGGACCTGGAACAGACCCAGAATGAGCTCACCAGGGACCTCAAACTCAAGTAAGGAGCTTGCAAATCATACTGTTGGCCATCAGTAGTATATCTATGATGAACACAATCTGTCCGGCTCCAGGAGAGAACACACATGGCTACAAAGTTATGTGGTTGCAAACTTAGCAACTAGTTCTGTTCAACCAGATTTCCCTTTAAAATATGTCACTGTCATTATTAATGAATATGAGGTTAAATTCTGTGTATAATTACTTAACAGTATCCTAAAATAAGCAGAGCTCCTGAGTGTTCATGTCTTGCTGTCATTCTCTGCTTGCCTCTTACTGCCTCTGGCTAATAGTCTTGTCTATTTGTCTTTCAGACATCTTATCATTGAGAACTTCATTCCCCTGGAGGAGAAGAACAAAATAGTCAGCAGAGCTTACATTGATGAAGAGGATGAGTACTGGAAGATGAAGCCCATCACACGTGTAGAGGAGTAAGTTACACAATATTCTGAGCATGTTTTTATGTAAATTCTTCATCTAGATAAGAAGTGCTTTAGGTGTGTAATTATACCACTGGGGACAGATCAGACAGCCAAAGACCCAGACAACGGTGTAAGGACTACAGATTGAATGTGGCAAGATAAGACATTGAATCCAAAACAAAATGCAACAACTGTGAAGATGTATTCAAGAACGAATGTGGTGTGAAAAGTTGCTGAGGCCAGTTCTAAGAGCAAAACAGCAAGGCAAAGCGTCAAGTATCAGCCAGAGAGCTATTTTCGAGTTTATTAGTACTGCTTGTCAGTTGGTGGAGGACCAGGACCAAGAGGAAAACTAGCAGTGCCCTGGGCATCAGCAGACCACAGTAGAAGAGCGATAATAGATTTGCAGAAATAGTTACGGATGCTCAAGAAAAGGTGGAATAAGGCTCGTGACAAGGAAAAGGCAGCCCTACACCAACTAAACTCAGGGTCGATTTGGAAAAAGCAGAGGGAGAAGCATCAACAGATGAAAGCCTTTTATTAGCCCATTCCAATTCACAGCTGATTTCCTAAGAAAGAGGAAGGCCGGTTTCTGCAAAGGATGAGGTGTAGGATTGTGTGGCAAAAGCACATGGCAATCCCATCAGAGATATTCCACTTGGAGACTGTCCTTTCCAATTATAAGAATGCAAGCCTTAGGAAGTAAGGGCAGCAGTAAAAAAAAAAACCCATGCAGGGTTTACTCCAGGAACATCGGGCACCACTTATAAGATCTACAAAAACTGTCTACAGCCATTAAAGAGGCTATCAAACCTTTACGGCCACACTGGAAGAAGAAGCAGGAGCCTCGTCTCTAAATACTGACTGAGGGTTGTTTCACTCCTACATAACTGATCAAGACTAATTCAAGAGATCTTCCTGCTAGATGTTGAAGGGAAAATATTCTGGTTCATCATTGCAATCTTATCTTTGCCAACAAGCCCCAGGGTACTGTGGATTTCTTGAGCAAACATCAGTAATAACAACACTCTCAATCGTATGATCACATCTCGCCAACCCCTAACAACCTGAAGATGTGGAGCAGTACAGAGCAACCATCTGTACCTTGCATCACATCCTTACCTGCTTTCCTGAAGCATTTTGAGTCGGTCGGGACAGATGGAGGCACAACAATGTCTTTCATCTGGCAGAGAAATTGTCAAATGGACAGACCTGCAGAACATTTCCCAACAACATAAACGCATCCTGTCCCCATCAAGAGGAGAGACTTGCAACATCACATATAAAGTAGCTCTTACATTTTCTGCTTGTTGTAAAGCATCACTGAAGTTTATTTTACCTGTGGATGTTAAGTGGGAATATACAACTTCCCCCCCAAAGCATTTCTATGGTGTCAGGTGGTATTTATGTCAATGCTGCTTTTAAAAACAGTGAATTAAATCATTAATTTATGTATCATTATCCTGCACAGTCATAATTAATTTAATGTCAAATACCAATTTTTCCCATGATGCTTCACTTGCTGCTTCAGTGAACATCAGATGATGAACAAGCCTCTGTCTGCAGTCGGCTACAGGAGGCCCCTCTGTCACCACGCTCGCATGGCCATGATGATGAAGCCTGACACGAGATACAAAGTAAGCTGCACTTTCTCTTTACCTGTTTCACTGATGAACATTTTCAAGCTCACTCCAAGAGCATCTCTCCACATAAAAACCACATTCACAGTGACTTTGCATTCGTCATCCTCATCTCATGTTTCACAGGTTACACCACAAGGGACAGGGCTGAAATTAAATGTGCAGACAATCAATACAAAACCTCCCACTGCAAGGCAGCTTTAACAGCATAGTTAGACGTAATTTAGTGGAAGTGATTCGTTTCTAATCAGAGGCACAGAGCGCAGCACAGCTCTACTATGAAGCAACATCCCAGGACATTAAGTTAAAGATCTTTCATGTTGATATAAAAAACAAGCAGGGACATGTGAGTGTCTAGGTAACGAGAAATGTTGTGTGGACCTGTTGCTGCTGTTCACAGCAGCTRCAGGTGAGTGATGATGTGAATCCTCATGTTCTACTCTTTAATGCTGCTGTTTGCACATGTACAAATGAATCCTTGTTATTTAAAATGTTCATCCCAAAYATAAAAATGTATGTATATTTKGTGCTTTGCCCCCAGGCTGTAAACATCCAGATCCTGGACATGGACCTTCCAACACGGACGACTATAGACTATCAGGAGCCGGCAATCGCCCCGACRGTGGCAGCAGCTCTGAGGGACGCTCTCAGGGATGAGGATGAGATCCAGGTAGATGCCTTAGGCTTTTACAGCAGTTTAGGACCAACCCCACCAGCCAGCGCTGTCTCCAGCCTCAAGAAACCAAAGTCTGGGTAAGTTCACTGTCACCAGTAAGCWCTCCTTYAGCTGTCAATGCCACATGTTGTACTATTTAATAGTTTTTAATTCAGTTCAATTTCATGAAAGAGCTTTCTGTACTGTCCTGCAGTTTGACTGGATCTTGAAATATTGGTTTTTTGTCTGTAAACAAAAATCATAGAACTTGTTAATAACAAGTTCAAATGTTTAGATTCATGACCTTTGCAGTCATTCCCCAAATTCTGTTCAACTCTCTGGTTTTGCTCTCTGTCACTCAGTCGACCCAGAACCGGCAAGAAGTCAAGCACCCCGACGTCTCCTTTCAGCCCTTCCAGTCCAGGATCTCCTCTTTACCCACAATGCCGCGGCCTGGTGCCCAAGTGACAGCTTCTGCCACCACTATCTCTACCACTGACCTCTCTCGTGCACCTTTCCACTTTGGGACTCAACTTTGAGAGAATGGGTTTGGTTCTAGTTGTTTTTGTTGTCTGGACTACAGAATCYKGGATTCTGTAAACATTCAAGAAAACTTTCGTACTAATGCTGCTTTATAGGTTTTAACTGTAGCCACACCACTATTAACTGTTGTCATGAGCTTTTTCCTTTGGAGATTTGAAACCCACTCATCCTGAGTGTGARCCAATACAACRCCAGGGCAGCAGCCACGCCTGAAGCCTCACATCACTCCACACTGCTATTAGCTGCTATGAATGTCTTACATTTCACACTCACTTACACAGTGTTCTTAATGTATGCGAAAAAAATGAAGGGGTGTGTTTGTGTGTGCTGAACATTTGTATGTGTGTGTGTCTTGTTGTCCGTTAAGCTGTGCTGTCTTATTCTGATGATTTTAAGGTGCAGGTGTTTTGTGTCTTTAAAGGAATAGTTCCACATTTTAGTAAGTATACTTTCTTGCCAGATGAGATGACCATCACCAATCTCATGTCTATTGAAGCCTGAAGTAATCAGCTTGTCTTGGCTGGCTTCACTGGTTGCCTGGCAACCTCATGGTGACAAGGAGGCTCCAGGAAGTCTTAATRCTAAGCTAAGCTAATCACCTACTGGCTGTGGCTTCATACTCAGTACAGACATTAGAGTAACAAGTGAGGGTATTTCCTAAAACATTGGACTGTTCCTTGAGCTGTGTTTGATTGTATAGTCAGAAAGTCACCTGTCACCGGTTGCTGTAAAGAGAAAATGCTGTTCTTCCTGGGGCACATCAGATGGAGGCAGGAGCGGTGGGAGAGAGCTGCTCACATTTACATAAACATTCTGGGCTTAGTGACACTGCAGTAGGCCACCGGACATCCCAGCAGGAGATGAATGCTAATCACACCCTGAGTCACGGAACACTTACTTTTCCACTGATGCTGTTGCTCAGGTTCATCAGGGTTCCACGGTGCCTTAAACTGTGCCCTTCAGCTCTGCTCCTTCATTTTAGGACTGCTCACACATTCAAACACGCTCTTCTATGTCAGTGTTATTTTGTCTGCTCATTCATTTTGACATCAAGGAATTATTTACAGCACAGTCCTGACATTCCAGTCAGAATGAAAGAAATGGAGAGGCAGAGCATGTGGGCACAGCAATCAACTGTGCAGAAGAGGGATGTCATGTTCATGTCATCTACTTCTGTTAGTGAGAAAAACTGGTCTAACGGAACACTCAAAACCCTGAGTGTTGATCTTCACAGTATTGTGGTGGTGCCTCAAAACTCAGTCAAAACACTATGTACTTAAATAGATCTGAAACAGTGACTGAATATAAAGATGGTTGACTGGTCTCCGCCTCCTCAGCAAACATGGAAGAGGTGGGGTTTATGATCCATACTGCAGCCAGCCACCAGGGGGCGATCAAGATGTTTTGGCTTCAAATTTATCATGTTGACCATCATTATGAACAGTCTCTGATCTCAACATGAACCATTCCATTTGCCTGCAGGTGAACAATATGCAGTTTTGACCTCCACTGTTCAGTCTGCCTCTCTGCTGCTCTTTGTCATGCATACTCTTCACTGAAGGGTTGGGCAATGTCAACTTAATTGGCATATGACAATGTATGCAGTGAAACATTGTGATGGACAATGACATTGGCGGAGGTCATCTTATCAATTTATTTAACTCGCAGACACACATAGACATGTGCCGACTCATGTGACATCTCTGACCCACTACAGTGTAAATGTTGATTTGTTTGAAATGACACCACAATACCAACACTGATCACCACATAATGATCGATCCTTTTCTTAAATGAGTTCAATCTGTCTTCGTAGCTGCTCGCAATCATTTAGTAATTCAGCCCGTCACGACTCTGCTCACTCTCTTCCTCTCTCGCTCTGACAGGCAGAATTTGTAAATTTAGACAATATATGGAAACCAGAAGGAAATGGTGGGGTGTGCTTGTGTAAACTTCATTGTTTTGGCAGCGCGAATGTTAGAGACAGAGAGGAGCAGTAAAATACTGACAGCTGGTAAAAACTGTAAAAGCTCATTTTTTTTACAGTCCAAACATGTATGAAAGATGAAATGAACACTGTAAGCAGACTACCTGATCACTATAAACAAATTATTTTAACAGCATTTGTTTAGGAATTAGTATTTTTCTACGTTATAGTAGACGCTGAAATTATGGTCATTGCATGGCAGGCTGCACCCCTCTGTCAGTGTTCAACGGGGGGGCATCATGGCTGTCAGCCATTGTCAATGGATGATGGGATGGTCCATCAGCTGTTTGGCCCATGCCTACATACAGAAATATGTTGTGTAGTTAGATATGTAACAGTGAATACAGACTGGTTCAGAGGCATCCTCAGACATTTTTGCAGCTGTAAAAAAAATCTAGTCTAACTTATAATTTCTCATTTTTATATGCAGATGTAGATATCATTTTTTATTCTTTTTCTTGAAAATAAATTGTTTTATTTTTTGAGCTTTACAATTTCATTTCTTTTTTTGCGTGATACATGTATTATTTCCTCTTTTGTATACAGTAAGGTGCAGGCTTTTTGGTTGTGTGCTTGTGTGTACATGTTTAATTGTGTTGGTTGATGAGTCTGCCACAGATAAAAGCGTGAGTCGCATGTAGATTCATGTCACAGCTGAGTATTTACACATTGACTATACATCTATCTTCATAAACACAAATATAATTTTTAAAATAAGGCCTGATTATTGTAACCACCACTGCACTGTTATGTACCTTGCGCATGATTCAAGCACGCTTAAGAAATACATATGGTTGTGTATTCATCACTCATAGGAATCTGATTATCGGAATGTGAATATCTTAATTTAACTGAAAACCTTTGTGTGTGTATCCTGAAGCCACATCACCTGATCAAACTGCATATCTGAGATTTAAGTGACCAACTTTGATGCTGATGATGCTTTTGTAGCCAAATGACGGTTGCTGGTGCACTTCTGACTGTGTGTTGAAGTCTTTTACATGTTTAGTTTCTTTTAATTATTAAAGACAATTCAATAATAAGATGGCAGTATGTCCCGTCTCTGGAATATTTAAAAGAGGCACATGTGATCACATTTAACATAAACCTCCAGCCTCATGTCCTATGTAAGGAAAACAGTAATGCATCTACCTTTTGAACAAAAGTCTGTGTCACTGTCTGTCTGTGGAACGCATATCTCACAAACCATTCATCTAATCAGCTTTGCACTTGAATTGCTTGTTTTAATACTTACTGTATCAATGCTCCAGAGAAGTGCAGTGTCGAGTTTGGGGTGATTTGGACATGTCAACAGTCTATGGACTGGGTTGAACATGTCTTCAGCGTCCTTGGATACTCTGTACTCTGAATTATGGAGCTTTAATTTTTAAAAGATGTGAACTTGAGTCTGAACATTGTAATTTGCTTAGCAGACCTCTTTAACTAACCTCCGTTAGTTAAATAAATGATTCAAACTTATAAAAGCCGCACAAGTGAACAATAATAAAGCAAATTGAGTTTCATTTTATGTAAAACATTGACTATAAAATCTCTATTGCAGATAAACCAGGTAGGCTGAACACAAAATATTCTAACATCACTGCAGAACTTTTTCTAAAATGTTTTTCACCAATAAAGAGAGATATGATTTTATAACATATAACAGGTCCCCGGGGGGCTGCAGACTTTGCAGCCTCCTCACAGATGGCACAGGTGCAAAGAGGAGACATTATGTTGTGGGCCTCTCTGACACACCTGACTTGGTTTATATCTGCTGTTGTAGAGAGGGAGAGACACCCACGATGTTTCCTGCGTTCTCACTTCCCTCTGCAGACTCTGGCCTGCAACTTTACAGTTTCCATACCAGACAGAGATGCAGTGTGTCTCTAGTGTGTTTTCATAATGGCTGGTGTTGGCTGTCCTCACTCTGCACAGGAAGTGGAGACGTCAGATGGTGGAGGTTCTCATTAACTTTGATGAATTGATCATAATCCAGACTCATCTGATGATTTCTTCAAATCTCCTTAAATATATAGGGACAAGCGTAGAGACGCTCGGTTGCCAGATATGTCCGAATACGTGGAATTTGTATACTTAAGAATGCATGCGTGTGAGCTTGTATGTATATATTGATGCGTGTATAAACATCATAAACAGTTTAATGTTACAATGCACTTCATTATAATGAACCTGTCGTGTCTGGATACTAATATTTACTTGGTTTGATGTTTTTCACACGCATCTCTGTCGGGGGATGTGGTGTGCGGACCTGGCAGCCCGCCCCAG